TATGTATTTTTAAATTAATTCCTAATGTTTTCACGAAGAAATTTGTTTTTAAATTAAGCAAGGCCTATAAGTCGAAAATGGTCTGTACCAAGAAGTGCATGTAGAGAACCTTGCTTCAAACAATGGAAATAGGGTTTAATATACATGTATAGAAAGACTTCTCTTTATACATACTATATACAGTGTTCAGATGGTTTAAAAAATTCAAAATATGAAATATGGTAGTCAACAGAATTCATTTTGACTCGTGAGATCCAGTTATATTAAGCACCTATATCTAACTGAAGAACCTTCTGGGAATTGATTTCATCAAATCAACTCTACTATGAAATTGTCTACTTATCAATGGAAAATATAGTCGCTGACAAGAAAAAGTTCTTTAAGATAATCTAGATGGTCAATTGTCAATACATTGAAACTATAAATAAGTATTTTGAACAATTGAAATATCATATCTATTAATCGTTACAGTATTCTGCGGTTGTTAACGCTGGCTTCTCCCATGATGTGATCGATTACATGTGTAGCGGGAGAGGACCAAAACCAGACCAGACCGGGATTCGAACTTAGGCCCCCTGAATCTCCAGTCAGATGCCCTACCAACTGAGCTATCTGGCCGCCGGCGATCGAACCTGTCTGACCACCATATTCCTCCCTCCTTAAAGGTCTTCAGCCCTCGAAGACGCCAACCCAGGCTCTTCCCTGGCAAGTATTTCACCTGCCACTTCCAGTATTATAATGATATACTTAACTCAATGTGCACAATATCATGACCCCTCCCCCCCCCCCCCCCCGAAAAAAAAGAATACAATTGACTATAACAATCTAACAACTAAACTTTGCGATAAATGTGACAAACTTTTCCATCTTCTGCTTCCCTCTTTTATGTTGCAATATACCATTTTATCCCATATTTACCCTTTAGCCCGTGGATATCACTCATTGGATATTTTTTTCATACACTGCTGTGACGTCACAATGGTTTTGCGTGAAAGTGATGAAGTAAAATAAAGTGGATTTCTATATAAAAACACTGTAAAATTATGATAGTGGTACATAAAACATTTGATAAAAAGAATTTCTCATGATTTGTAGCTGGATATGATTTTTATCCAACTCGTGTGTTTTTATCCCCTCGCCAAGGCTCGGGGATAAAAAAACACACAACTCATTGCATATAAATCATATCTAACTACAAATCATGAGAGATCCTATATACTGGCTTCTCGTGTACTTTCACAAATTCCGTAGACTGAGCTCATACCTTTTGCAAAAATAACCCATCTTAATAAAATTTTCTAGGTGAATAAAGTGTGTGTACTTGGCTGATGAATTACAACTGATTACATGAAGAACCTACAAGTATAAATTAGAATTTTATTGTACCTTACCTTAGCACTCAGCGCAATCTCCGACGTAATATAAAGAACCGTAAACATTATAACGTTACTACGGATAATGGAAAAAAAAACTTATCAACTGTATCAACATTTCTTTTCATATCACAATGAGGTACGTAAACATGTAGTATTATTTTTAAAATGGGGGAGGCCTAGAGGGATAAAATTATTTGACAACTTACCTGAAAAAATCTTTGATAAAACAAGGGGTATTGTTGTTAAATTGTCAAAAACTCGAAAATCATATCTCGGGGGGAGGGGGAGATTCCAGCCTTTTTTCCACAAATTTCATTTTTGTATATTACCATAGGCCAATTTTATACTGCAATAAAGGGGGGGGGGGGCGGCAACCAACCTTTGAATGAACATTTTCAACTGTAAAAGTTGCCCCCACGCATACTACGTGCTTATAATAATTGAAGGTATAAATATAAGGTATTTTGATTATTATTATGTGATATAACATTAAAATATACGGACAAAATTTTAAAAAAAAATCAATAGCGATTCATAAAAACCTTGACTTTTTAGAATTTCAACCATTTTTTTTTCTTAATTCCGTTTCTTCATTTGCTTCGATAAAACACATAACTATGCCATTTAAATCTAAACACTTATAGGACTCTTAATATATGTCTATATGTGTCTTAGTATGCGTAGAGTTCAAAAGAATTCAAGTTTCAAACAAGAGGCCCATGGGCCACAACGCTCACCTGAGTGTAGTCTCGCTGTTTTTCAAATGATTTTCCCCCTTGTAGTACCTATGTGGCCCCGTCCTACCCCCAGGGGTCATGTTTTGAACAAATTAGAATCTACACTACCCCAGGATGCTTCCAAATAAGTTTCAGCTTTTCTGGCCCAGTGGTTCTTGAGAAGAAGATTTTAAAAGATTTTTTCTACATACTTCAATGTAAAACTTGGATTCCCTATTGTGGCCCCACCCTTTCCCCAGGGGTCATGATTTGAATAACTTAAAATCTACTCTACCCAAGGATGCTTCCACGTAAGTGTCAGCTTTTCTGGCCCAGTGGTTCTTGAGAAGAAGATTTTTAAAGGTTTTTCCTACATATTTCAATGTAAAACTTGGATTCCTTATTGTGGCCCCGCCCTACCCCCGGGGGTCAAAACTTGAACAATTTAGAATCTACACTAACCCAGGATGCTTCCACATAAGTTTCAGCTTTTATTGACCCAGTGGATCTTGAGAAGAAGATTTTTTTTAATAACCCCACCCTATTTTTGTCTTTTCTTGATTATCTCTCCTTAGAAGGGGGCTTGGCCCTTCATTTTAACAATATAAACTCCCCTTCAATCCTCCAAAAGAGATTTCAGGTTGTCTTTTCTGCAATTGTCAATCTACACGATCCATTTTGGAATACCGACCCCGATGTATTTTCATAGCATTTAAATATAATTGTTTGGTAATTGAATATCATACAGTTTCAATGAAAGTACTTTTTCATGAGCTAAACGTGTTTTCAATAATCCTCCAAAAGAGATTTTAGTCTGTCTATACTGCATTTGTCAGTCTACACGATCCATTGTGGCATACCGATCCCGATGTATTTTAATGGTATTTGAATATAAGTTTGTGTGGTAACTGAGTATCATACAGTTTCAAATTACAGTATCTTGAGCTCATAAACATGTATAAATGATAATTATCAAAATGCTGCCTCTCAAAATTCAAAAGTCACAAGTTAGATTAAACTGCCCAGGGTTTTTTTTTTTTGGCTAAGTAGGTCAAAAGTCAAGGTCAAGTGGATTGTAAGCTGGGATTTTTTTATATTGTCTTATGACAAACAGTGCACATGCTAAAAAGCCAAAAACTTACCTCTTAAATGTCAAAAATATGCTGTAAATCGGCGCTATGAGTTATTTTGAAAAGTAGGTCAAAGGTCAAGGTCAAACGTCACGAGGTCAGTAAACATGGTAATTTACAAAAGCCGTAGAGTCATGCAATATATGTGCAAAATATCAAATCCATGATACCTCTTATAGTTCTCGAGATACAGGGTGTGAGACAGACGGACAGACAGCTAGACGGACGGACAGACAGACGCCGGGTGAAGTGATCTCTTAGTGCCGCCCTGCTCTGCAGGCGACACAAAAGTCAGGTATAACCGCGTCACAAATGTCATGAATATATTTTTGAATGAAACAATTTATAAGCATCCATAAAAGCCTCTAAATTGAGGAAATCACCAGTAGGGACATGTACAGTTAATATTGATAATTCTGACTTGAATTGAGAAGATACTGCGTTATATAACTGCTTCAAATGTTCAAGGTGCTCGATAAACAATGACCTCACTGTCTTTTTGCATGACGTCAGACACTATAAGCTTTAACTTAGTTTCCTTCCTGCCTAATATCATTCCGTCTTCCTGTCCCCTAATGGACTTTCAGTGAGCAATCATCCTTCCAAAAAAAAAAAAAAAAAAAAAAAAAAACTTGAAACAATATTTACACTAATCTCCTGATCACCTTTTTTATACTAACCCGGAAGTTGTGGGAAACGTGTTTCGGAAGTGGGTCAGTCGATATATCAACTAAACATCATTTGAGAAGGTTTTAGAGGTGTAATATGACACTTCTATTATACAACCTTCCTGATGAGCAGCAATTTCCCCCATCTTTATACGTTCTCGTTTTCTTAATCGATATTTTCAGGTCTGATTTGAAAGAAATGATATAGATTTCTTTTTATCTTGATTTTGTTTTGAATATTAAAGTATCCTTTATGGAATGAAAGTATTACTAATATAACTCTCTCACTGGTTGAAGATTGACAACTCTTGGGTCTTATACCTGAAATTGAACTTTGTGAAAAAGATTTGAAAATCAAATCATTGAAAAAAAATTAAAATTAAAATATGTGATCATCCACTTGTACATGTTTGTCTTTGGCTGGGAAATGACAAGTTTTTTTTTTAATTTTTTTTTAAATGTAATGTCAGATGTAAGTCTGCATGTTCGATAGAATAGAAGGGAAGGGGGCATAGAGTCTGAAATGCAGTACAGAAAATTATCTTTGTACCTTTAATCCAACTCAGGGTCGTCGCCAGGTTTCTGACTAGACCATTTTAACAATTTTTTTTTCAATCTTGTCCATTTTGGAAATCATTTTTCACATATCATATACATGTAAACCAAATATAGCAGCACTATTGTAAATAGATGAGAAAATGAATTTATTTTGACGTAAAGGTTATATTTTCAATTCTTCAAAATCATTTTTTTTCAAGAGGTGCGATCGCAACCTACTCACCACCAGTTCCGACGGCCTTGCAACCTAAGTCTTTTTATATATGAAGGAAGTTGACGGAGGGTAAAATTTTTTTTTAGTCTCCTGTTCATGATAGAGAAGTCCATGTCAGCGTGCTGACTAAGACTAAACTGATTAATTTTGCAGATTTTTGTTGCTCGCGGATGTGCTGTTATTTTTCAAGGAAAAAAAAATCGTGCATACGTTAAAGCAGTTAAGAAAGTTTTGAAATAATGATTCATTGCCAAATAACTGGATCCGCTTGCGAAATATGGGTCACGAGTGAATTACCACGACTGTAGTATTTATTGACGCTTTAGAACTTCGATAACAAAGATCCCGTATTTACTCAAGTGAACAGGTAGAAAAAACAAGCAGGTAAGATTTTAAAACACGGGAATTGCATGTTTCATCTCTCGACAATCTTGTATGTGCAATTAATACGATCTGATAATGAGAAAAGGTTATTTTATTAAAGTGAAAATGGTAAAAATGATGTTTGGAATGTTGGTTCATTGATTATCGATTAGTAAAATACAAAATATAGTCCAAGGTCGCAGGTGTAAATAATGGATTTTTGAAAGTATTAAGTTTCATACAGTTAAAATTGAGAGAACAAATGTTGTCTATGGGGGAGAAGAAAAATATTGATATGATTATAATTGAATTTAGTAGAAGTTCATTTCTGGAAAGAGATATGCATGATGATTTAAACTAAAGATCAAAAAGACATAGTTACGTGTAATATATATATATATATATATATATATATATATATATATATATATATATATATATATATATATATATATATATATATATATATATATGATTTAAATGACATATTTTGAAGAATAGGGAAATTTCCCTCCTTGTGTATGGGATTTCAATGTCTCCAAACTGTGCAAGATAGAGAGGTGGTTCTTTTTAAATGCACTATTTATTTTAGGTCATTTTACTGATAAAAAATACAGATAAAACATTTACGCAGTAATTATCAAGTTTATAAATGTTTATATCTATCAAGGGATAAATACATGAAATCTGACATACTGTTCATAAACGGAACTATTTCTTACTTTGAAAACAATTATTAGCTGCATTTAAACATTTAACTGTTCTCTTTCTTTTCTATAGAATGATCAAACAAAAACAGTACGATTGGAAAGACAGCAACTTAGCATTATTCGGATCTGACACTGAAAGACAGGTCAAAAGTAAGTAGAAAAAAACTTGATGGGGATCCAAATCTACGATTTTTTTTTTCACTCTTTCGCCTTAAGAAGTTGAAAGAAAACGTCTAATGCATGGCAACAAAAAACACACCTTCCAGTCATTAATGTACTTAACTAGGCCGAAGTAATTAATTAATAATTAATCAGTCAGATAAACCAAACTTCTGTTTGATGAATAAAGTGGATACACAGCTTCATTAAGGTTAGAAAATGTTATCGTATCCAATATTATATTGATCGTTTATTTAATACGTTTGAAAAAAAAGGTTTGAAGCACAGAGCACTCAAGAGTATTCATGTACAATTTAATTTCCTTGAATTCTAGCTTTAAATTTTTCTCAGTAAAGCTGACTCATTTTGTAATTTTTAAATTATAGACATATGTACAAATATAGGTTGTGAAATACGGGTGCTGACGTTCAGACAGGGCCTGGTTTGCTGAAGCAAATAAATATTTATTTTCATAATAGTATTTACAATGGAGATTTTAAATAGAGTTCTTCCTTATAATGAAATAAGATAGTCATTATATTTTTCCAGACTGAATTGACAGCCCTCATTTTATAAGTGCATGGATGTAAAATAATTTAAACTTTTTTCTTTAGGGCCATAGACTTAATTGAAGCTTCTAAAAGGACACGTTTTCTAAAATATTGAGTTACTACTGTTAATACATAAAATGCATGAAATTCTGTGTAATTATTTGGGTTCAAAACATTTATTTTAGTATTTTCCTTTATGAGTACATGTATGCTGAGAGAGAGAGAGAGAGAGAGAGAGAGAGAAAGTGTTTGTGTGTGTGTGTTCATATAAACATACATTTGGAACATAGTCTCAAAATAAAATATATCTGAAATTATATCTAACACCATTATGTGAATATTGAAATTGTAGGAAGATCTTTGTATTAATATAACTTGATAATAGGTGATAGTTCGTAAACCTAGAAGGGTTTGATACTAGTATTAAAATACTAGTACTAAAATACTAGTATTTTAATCTAGAAATTCATAAATTTGTACAGTAATTGAATTAATTACAATGTATTCTGTGTTGAGTACATTGGCGTACATGTATCCTGAAACAACCCATTCAGGATGTAGATGTGAAAGAGTTTTTTGGAACGGATAAATGAATTATACTGATAATCGGATTAAAGAATAAGAAACCAGGATGCGTATATTGACACATCACAAAAAGAGTAAAAATGACATTATAAACATTTATTTCACATGATATAAACTTTTACACAATGATGCTGAGGTTTATTTCACGAATGTTATGTTTACTAACAATATCGAACTTATTTCTTATGTCAGCATAATGAATTGTACATTAATTTATGACGGATTTCTCTTTCTTTTTTTTTTTTTTTACAAGTTAAACTAAAAAAAAAAATCTTCAAGTTTTGCTGGCTTACATGTATTAACAATCAACCTTTGTTTAATAATTTCTGATATATTTATTTGAAGTGAATTACTTCGTTTATCCATTATAATTCAACCCCCCCCCCCCGCCCCAACTATCCACATCCACCACTCTATTGATATTTCTTTTAACAAATTATTCAGTGCAAGGGCATAAGGAAAGAACCTTTATTAACAGAATTTTTTTTTCTTAGAGGAATCAGCAGAGCAAGAGAAGGCGTGGAAAAAGGCGGGAAAGAAATGTGGGCTACAAATATGGCGAATTGTGGTAAGAGAGAGTTGCTATGTCTGCAATGCAGTCATATTTGGCGTTTGTGTGTAGATGGGCAATTTCTTTATCCGAAAGAACGAAATACATGTAAATTGTACCTTATTTCTTGAAATGGTAATTATCTGTAAACTACCTGTTTACTTGATCAGCTGTAGATAATATACAGAAATAAGGGTCTCTACTACGGTGAAATTACATATTTCATAATCCCACACCATTGTGTGTAAAATTTGTAGTTACACAAACTAGACGATAAAAAAATGTGTTTCTACGAGGTCTTTTGAAAGAGTCACCTACATTTTATTGTAAATTTAAAAGGAAGGCTATAAAAGCGAACATATTAGGTTTAAGACTTCGCACGTTTTTCTCGCATAGAAAAAAAAAATCATATTTGCATGAATAAAATTACAGCGAAGTAAATATGAGCTTTAAGTTTTTTTTCTTGAAATTCACCTGATAAAATTTCTATATGGTAATTGCTGTTCAATCTTTTTTAATAATACATGTCGGATTGTTTTCCGCTGGCTTCGCTAAATCCTTGAAGTGGATTTACATATGATATTCATTGTATGCACCTACTTTAACATCCTAGTCGTTTGTTGCAAACCCATCATGTAGCCCCATACTCCTTCATTTTTATGTGAAAAAAAAGAATTTAAAAATAAATAAAGGCCCACTCAAGTAGTCGTCTTCCTTTTCCTAATAAACGAATACGTTGATAAATGAAACCCTTAAACTGTAGCCATTAACTTAAAGTTCATGATTTCCACAATGTTTGATGTCGTAGCTTTGTTGTTTTTGATGAGGTCAGTACTTATAACTTTATTTCCTTATTTTACATATTAAGCCCATCCTATCCCCAAGCGCCATGATTTTAATAAAATTCAACATATATAGGGATCCTTAGATATATTAAATTTGATGTTCGGGCTCGATCCCTCCCCCTCCCCCTTCCTAGTTCGGTTAGATTTCATGTTAAATTTAATCATCATGTATTTCCTTGTTAAACGTTGACCCCTTATTGTGATTTCACCCTAGCCCTGAGAGACGATCGAGACAAGATCAACATATAGGAACACTTCTTGTAATTGGTATTCCCTCCCCCCTCCTCCTTTCCGAATGTAGCTGAGGTTCAAATCCTGTGTCTTTGATATGATTTTTTTTTTTAAATTTCTAAAAGAGGAAATTAAAATTATCTACATTGTACCTACATGTAAAATCTCTAGCGGGAAAACCTTAATGAAAATGTGTATTCTTTCCCAGAAATTCAAAGTGACGGAATGGCCAGTGGAGGATTATGGGAAATTCTTTGATGGTGACTCTTACATAATTCTAAACGTAAGTTTCTTGATTTTTATCAAAATATTTATTTACAGGTGCATTGATACATGTAGCATTGGTACATTTAAAAAAACATAAAAAGATGCATTTTGTTATCATCTATACTGACAGCGATGTACGTTTTTTTTTTTTAGGTCGCCTAATGTTTTTATTTAACTTGACCTGTTGACGCGTAAATCAAAATAGAATTTGTCATATTATGGATCTATAAGCGTTTTCTTATTTGCATTTAATACTTCAAGTACACATGAACTACTTGCAAACTGGGATGCAGTATGGTAAGCAACGATATTAATATAGAACTATTATTTAAGAAAAGAATCCGACAAAAAAATATACACGAGTTTATGACGATTATAAACCAGACACACAGGTTTTAAGACCTTAAGTGAAATGGTCAAGGAAATATTTTAAATGGGAATGTGTACTAGTACACATGGTTGTATAATGGTGGCTGTTATTTAAAGTTCTCTGTTAAAAAAGGCTAATATTCTTCCGTGATACAAGTTTGCTCAAGGATATGAATTACGCAATATATATGTTCTTGCATATTAAATTTCTGTGAGTCATAAGGCTATTTTTTTCAGTAAAACAGAGATTTCAAGGATGTTTTTTTTAACAATCCCAAACAGTATTTGGAACTATTTTCTCACAATCGAAGAACGAGCGCTTTGCAGTCCAACATATTGAATAGTTGTTGATATATAGTCTCTCGTGAAAAATATTCACTAGAGATAGTGCTAGTTTTTCTTCTAGAAAAATTGAAAGACTAGAAATTTAAGCCTGTCCTTTGTAATGCAGAAATAAAAACCAATATATAAATCGGAGCTTGTCACTATTATTAATACAAAATCAACGCCATTTTGATCCATCCGAGATGAAAACATTTCGAATCGGTTAAGCTTGAAAGATATGCAAGTTCCTCGAATTTGGTTGCATTAGGTGCTAGAAATAATATAAGAAAAAAAATCTGGCAATGAAAAACTTGAATTTAAGCAGAATTTGGTTTATACATCGTAGTAAAAAACAAAACAAAACCAAAACTTATTCCTTTTCCTTCTTTTGGGGACTTGTCGTTTAAATTCACATGTATAATTTCATGGTAAGAAAGGACTACTGATTCCTGTCTTTTTTATATCCTTACACGAAATAACCGAAATGCCAATATATGATTGAGTTTTACAGTCTAGATGTGAAAAATCACGATAATTATTATGTATGAATAAAGTTTTAAAGATACAAACTTTAGTCTCCACAGAAATAAATTCAATACTGGTAAAAGACTACAAGTGAAAATGTGTAAGTTAATGTCCGAGTACCTCTCCATTCCTTAAAAGTAATGAAGCCCGAGTCGACCAAGGCCGATTTATTTTAAGGAATTGAAAGATACATTAGGATATTGACCTACCGAGGTTCCACTGCTTTAAATGGAGAGATACACTGTAAGTTGACATTAACCTATACCTCATGATGAACAGAAAATACAAATGTATGCACTGCTATCAAAGCAAACCGTACGCGCAACGTGAAGTATATACATGTACATGTATATGCACATGTTTTTCTGTGTTCATCCTTTATATTTTGATATAAAAAGAAGATGGGCCAACAAAGCGAGCGCAATGCCTATATATAGTGCGACAAACATGAAGGTGAAAAATTAAATCTCAATTAAAACAAAATTTTCTTTGATATTTCATCTAAAATTAAAGTATTCTTTATGTAAAATCTCCATAACTTGCAAAAATCTCACGAAAACTGAAATTATTTGCGAAAAAGCATACACATGCTAAAGAGGGCAAAAAGGATCATTTTCTCATATTATAACACAATTTTTCGATATGAGTGGGTTTTTGCTCCATATCTTTGAAAGTTTATCCGTAAAGTTTGCATAAAAGTATACATTTTTTGGTCAACAGAAACATGGAGCAAAGACCCACTATACCTTAAAAACACACTTTTATGACACAGCATTCGCATCTTTCCGAGAAATACTTGAAATCCATATAGTCAAGGGTCATATCACAGACTTGATTTAAATGCCACCATTCATCAGGAGCTGTGTAGCGTAGTGGTTAGCGTGTTGGTCTCAAAAGAAAATGATACTCAGGATTTTTATTGCTTGGGCTCGAACCCCACGAATGCCACATTATTTTTTTAATAACAGAATAATTTTTGTCGAGAAAATTTTCCTCAGAAAAGTTTTGTTCGTCATAATTTCATATATTTCAATAATGAGAACTTTACTCTAAGTATTAAATTAATTAATTGATTATGATTTTTATATATCTGAACCTATAGGCATTCTTCGCGCCTTGTTCACCCATCTCCTTTGAATGACGACTACCACCATCAAAGCTATTTTGTATGCAATACCTATACAATGGAAAAGGAATTCTATTGCCACCATCGATAAATAAGAGTATAAATGAACATAAATATTCCTTCATGCAAGAGGTTATCTAGCGGCCATCGGTTTCTGGTCGTGTCATTGTATAATCTTTCAATTTATATGCAGAACTAATCCGGGAGTTTGATTCATCTTTTTTCTTTCCCAAATGAAATTAATTCTTTTATATTTACGTATCCCAGGAAGAAATATACTTCTTCATAAGTATGTCATGTACTTATGTATGTCTATTGTACGAATTAGTGTAATGAAGACATGTTTTAAAGTTATCGCAAGACGTTGTGTCGATTTCTAAACAAAAGAATACTTAAACTCAAAATGATTGAAATTATTTCTATCTTTGTTTGTGATTAAATGCATTGTAATTTTGAAAAATAAATAAATAAGTTAAAAGTTTTGAGAAGTGGTTTATCATCGTCATTCGGAAAAAGAGGAAAAACCATGATGAATGAGATATTGCCTGCGGATTTCAATTTTTACGCTACTTTTTTTTAAAAGAATGAATGGAGTTGTTCTAAAGTGTGAATAATGCTTACAGTTTTTTTTAACATTGTTATTTCTCGTATTCCTGTTTGGAGGAAGCTAAAAGAAAATTCAATAAGCTTATAGACGCATAAAATATTTCCTAGCGTATGGTAGAAAAAAAAAAAAATCAAAATTCTAAGGAATCATTTGCTTACCATAAGACATGACCGCGTATTCTGTTTTTCAAAAGGCATAGTAATCCTTCAGATATATAACCTTTTGATAGTAAGTTATCGTTTCTATCCAAGAGTTAAAGATTTCACAGTCTTTGCTTGAATTTCCATTGCTTCCATTGTGAGCATCATTTACAGTGTGTAATAGGAATACCTCTGTGAATTTATAAACAAGCTATGTATCAGGTGTATAAGATAATTAATTTGTTGGTTTGTTTGTTGCTTTTGTGTATTAAATCTCCTAATTGTTAAACAATATTTAGGTATTTGTGTACTTATAACTTTTTTGATTTAATATGGGTGTAGTAGGTACATGTATGTTGACCCCCCCCCCTTTCAAAAAATGCAAATATTTGAAAAATTTTTAAAATATATATTGCAAGGCCAATTGAAGTATGAATTTTAAAAAGGAATATTATTATGTATGTTACCTTACAAAATTTTAATTTATTTTTCACATAGTTAAATCTTTCCATGACTAACAGGAATAAATTATCATTAACGAAAGTTCTGGTTTTGTTTTGTTTTTTTCTGTTCCCTCTCGCAAATGAACATGTTGGCGATGATTTATATACATGTACATATATGTGTTATTAGTGCTTTACACACTTTGAAATTGTAATTATCCTATCTTCTTCAGACTTACAAAGAAGACTCGTCAGAAGCTCTTCTCTACGACGTACACTTCTGGATCGGAAAGTACAGTACACAGGTAATATACGTATACATGTACGGCATTAACTCCGCAACATATATAATTCTGAAGTTAAGATACAGCAACATGTAAAGTGAAAACAGTGCATAAATGTAAATTAACTAACTTTACTTTAATTAACTAACTAATTAACTTAGTAAAGTACACGATAAAGTTACAAAACTGTACACAGTTACATGTAAACACACTCAGGTAAAGTGAAAATACAGTATAAAAGTAAAGTAAAAGTAAAGTACACAATTCAGTGAAAATGATGACCTAACCATTTGTATGAAAAACGTCAGTCAACATTCGCCTTAATGATAGATTGTATTTGTTAACAAGGTCATTGTAACGATCATAAAATTTGCGAAATGTTGACTTTAAACGAGACTGTTGATATTCTTGTTTCATCAACTTACGAGTATGCCTCGATTGCCTCGATTTGGAAATTATTCGTACGAAGAGCATGCTCTTGCGTATCGAATCAGTTGGGAGACATAAACTCCATATGCAGGTGATAATGGTATATCTTGCTACACAAGGAAAGGAAGATGACGATGGAAAAGTTGAAGTCATCACGTTTATCATAAAGTTTTGTTATTAGGTTACCATTAACGTCTTTTTCTAGTAAAATATCCAAACATGAAACAAATATGTCAGAAAAAAAGATACAACACTCTGGTAAAGTGAAAATACAATACAAATGTATTTACAGTAAATTACATGGTTAAAAAGCAGTACACAGGTAAAATTAAAAAAAAAAAAGCATACAAATAAGTAAAAATACGGTAAAATTGAATCATATAATTTAGTAACGTTTACAGTGGAGCCATTTTGTTAACTAACTCTATAGTACAAGGTATAAATTAAGATGCAACAAAAAGTAAAGGTTTATATGGATCATAAATAAACGTATTTTGATGCAGATATTAAGGTTAAAACACAGTTCAAAATTCAAAATTGTAAACAGAGTTGCCTAAAACAAAATACACATTTTAATTCACTTTAACGTATCTAATTGCAGTTTAAAGCCCGGAAATCATGTAGTAATTGGAAATCAATGTCTGCTATACCAAGTGAAATCCTTATTACTTGTACTTGAAAAGTTCCGCATCCACATACACAATGTTCTCAAGATTTTCTGAAACCTAACCTTTGAAATCAAGCATCTTTATTACAATGTAGATTCAGTCTTAACAGCTGTTAATTATATTTAAAAAGGATGAGTATGGAACAGCAGCTTACAAAACTGTGGAGCTGGATACCTATCTAGACGACGTCCCCATACAACATCGAGAGGTACAGGGTCACGAATCCGAGTTATTCCGATCGTACTTCAAAGAAATTACGTAAGTTATAATTATATCGACCTAAACACAGCTGGTTTAATAAACTCGAATGATTTTGTCGTAATGTTCATTTTACACTATTGCATTTTTCGTAATAGTTATAAAGATTGATCTGATTGGTCTTATTAATAGTTATCTTCATGGCGGGGCAGATAGTGGATTCCGACAGGTCAAACCGGAAGAATACACACCACGCTTGTTTCATTTCCATGGCGACAAATATGGCGTTACAGTTAAAGAGGTACATTTTTTAAATGAAAGAATCAATAAAGAAAATTGTGGAAACCCAAGACCCTTTTTGTAAATATTAAACACCGTCTATCCTTAGGCTATCAATTCAGAGATTTTAATTCAGGAAGAAACTGTTTTAATCCTTTATTGCTCTGTCTATATAACAAGGACATTTTTGTATTAGGTTGTCCGTGATAAGAGTCGACTAGATGACACAGATGTATACATTCTGGATAAGGGCCTGACAATCTACCAATGGAACGGCCAAGGCTGTAATAAGGATGAAAAATTTAAGGTACATATTGTATATATATTATACCTTCATGTAAATTAGTTGAAACTGATTCGTCGAGAAACATTTGTTAAAAACACCATTACCCGCTGAACAATGAAGCCACGCCCTCCAGCGTAGCAACAGTCAACATTGCTTGACGACGGGTGATATTCAAAAAAATATTAACTGCGCAGAATTTATGTGCGCAAGGTTCACTGTTATATGTATTTGTATAAAACTTTCAGTATAATATAATAAATATTGCATGTAGTTGAGTGTAACATTGAAAATTTTTACCCCAAGAAAACCACTGTCAACCGAGGCGCAGCTGCGCCTCGGTTGACAGTGGTTTTCTTGGGGTGAAAATTTTCAATGTTACACTCAACTACATGCAATATTTATATAGTATCACATTTAACATATATTTGGTCAAAATTACTTATATGTTTGGAGGCAATCCATCTTTTCGATTTTTTTTAAAAAAAGAAGTCATATATTAAGGAAGCTCTAAACACTGCAAACCAAGCAGTACTATTTGTAGGGTAGTTTTATTGAGTTAGAGTGATCTGCCCTTAGAAGAAAAACAGAATAAATGAGAATCTACAGTTAATGACACAATTTGTTATGAATTAAAGTATTCTTAATGTTATGTTAGACCAAGATTAAGTAATTGAATACATAATTTCCATTAATTTTCCCGATGTAAGTAAACAACAGTAATTTCTATTCACAGACAGTTCATTGTCTGAGAACATTTTTCCTGCTGAAATAGGGCAGGTACTCTATGTCGAAAATAAACTAGATGCATTGAATTTGTGCACCTTTATATGATATATTTTTCTCAAAGTCCAAAAAGCGTTTTTGATTAGTGATTAGAGCTTCCGTAAGTTGAATGAAAAAAAAATTAAATATAGTGTTAAATAAAATTATACTAAAAAATAGATTCCCGATGAAAATTTTATTCCCACAATCCAAATTCAAAGCTAAATGAACTTTATATGCCTTAACTTGATTTTAAAGGCTCTGCAGTATGTTAATAAGTTAAAGGCAGAGAGAAGTGGAAAGCGAGTAGAAGTGGAAGTGATTGATCAAAACTCTTCTGGACAAGATGAGGTAATCAAGCTTTGAAAAAAGTCCCACAATTTCTTAATCTATGATATTGCTTATTTGTTCTTACATTTCATCAAATACATAGAAATGGTGAAATCTTTCTTCAGATGTCTAGAAACCAATTTTTTTCCTCCCCAGGAGTGAAACCATTGCATATTTTAAGATGATGAACTTTGAAAACGTGTGTAACTTTGAGGCATACATAGGTTAATACAAAGAAGGGGGTCGTAGTGGTTATAATCGACCCGGACATTAAATATAATAAGATTTCTTCTCAAGATATCTACAATATGTATCCCCAGAAACAGTTGAAACTTTTCCGATACCTCTTTAAGCTTATTGTCAGAAGCCTCAAAATGACGAGATTTTCCGCAAAAATCATGTTGGATGACATTACCTCAGGATGTAATCTTACGTTAACTTTACGTTTGCCATTGACAACTATCAAACTTAGAAGATTCCCTGATAAAAAAAAAGTTTGACTTGACGCGATTTTCAATTCAATAAATATGACTATGTTTGAAAGAGAGATCATTTTTTGCTGGAAAAAGAAAAGAGGACGATATGTTAAGCTTATAGCTTTATTTACATGATAAACTCTGACAATTTAAGGAGGAATTCATGCATCTGTTGGATGGTGGAACAGAGGAAGAAGAATTTGACAGCTCATCTGATTTTGTGGCTCTCGACAAGACAAAGGAGCTCTTCCGGTGGGTGATATTTTTTTATACGTACACTCAGCCTGTTCATAGCAGGTAGTTGTTATCAATTGCTTAATTGATCTTTTCATTTATTATTTTCAAATAATCTGAAAAGGAGGTTCATTTAACTTAGTGTTTCTGCTGGTTTGCTTATGAAAAACATATTTTGTTTGAAAAGAGAATGCACAGCAAAACTTTCACTAGATCAATAAATTTTTTGGGTCGTGCAGTTTGAGGTGATATAACAAACTCCTTTAAATAAAAATGAAGGGAAATGTTTCAATTTTGTACTGGATTATTTTATATTAATAAAGCTTTTATGTTGTATAAGGTAGGAATCAATAAACTGAAAAAGGATTTGAAAATGGAGCTCATATCTACATGCACATACAGATCTAAATAAATTTTTAACTACTGAAAAAAGCTTGTTGGATGTTGAGATCTAAGAGTTATCCAATATAACCACAAAATACCTGGATTTATTTGTCTTAATAGAGATTTGTTCTGTACAATTGAACACCATTAATGGAAATTAAGGGCTAGTACATTCTCTATCATACCAATTATAAAAAAAGAACTATTTTGATAAATGTTCTTGATATACTATTTATACAATATAAACAATATCATTATGTTCTTCAAAATTCATTTAATATTTTCAAAATCACATTGGTACAGCAAAACGAATTGAACCTCGGAACATTAATGCTGCCAAACATAATTACAAGTATACTCATAGAAATCGTATTTTGTTTGATTTGAAGTATCAAACACAATTTTCCTTCACGTAAATCTAGCTTGAACATAAAACGATCGAACTATTGCAAAATAAACAGACCATAAATATATGGAGTAAATTGCTATTTGTAGACAATTCATCCATGTAATTTTTGGGTTTTTTTTAATTCTAGGTTGTCAGATGCCGATGGATCAATGAAGTTCACCCAAGAAAAGAAAGGAAAAGTATCGATGGGGGACTTTGACAGTAATGTAAGATACTTTTAAAAAATTCTGTTTGTATTGTTTTTATACAGTACAATAATAGATGAAATGTTTTTCTATTTATTATCAGTTTACTAATCATTTAGTAAATTAGTATGAAAAGCTTTTATTTTCTGATTTGAAGACCTATATATGTTTTGTTTCTTGTTTTAAAATTTGCTAAAACCCAAATGTTCATATTTCGGGAATCAATGATGTTCGTTTACTTACTAGAACAAATTATTGTCATGCATCTATTATCATGCATTGAAAATAATTTATTGTTGTTATTGACTACACGAGAAATGAAAGTGAAGAAAAAATAATATACTTTTAAAATTGCATTATTTGGTACAAAGGACAGAGCATTAGAAAAAAAATGTATAAGAACTTAATTTAACACACTGATGTATTCAACAGGATGTGTTTATATTTGACACCAAAGAAGAACTTTTTGTTTGGATTGGAAAAGCTACCACTCCTGCAGAACGCAAGAATGCAATGACATATGCACATGTAAGTTTCACAATTACCCGAATCCCCACGTGATTTCAGCAATACATGTTTTGAAAATGCCCAGCTAGTTGGTTAAAACAGTGATATTCTCTGTTCATTTTATTCTCAGCAACAACTATTTGCATGCAAAGACACAAGAAAAAGAAAATTTTAGCAATCAGGACAAAAAAAATATTGATCCGAAACACGATGTGCAGTAAAGAATATGATATCAAACATAATGTTTTTTATTTTTACATTTTACAGAACTACCTGATGAAAAGTGATCACCCTTTACTGCCCATCAGTTGTTTAAAAGAAGGAAAAACAACGGCTAACTTTACAGCCGCATTAGCTGCATAATTTGTCGTCTGCATTAATTGTACAGTACCCGTTGATGTATTACTGTTGTGCCTTTGACTTTGCTATCAGTATATCTTTGTACATTATCAATTCGTTAACATAAATCCATTGACATTATTTTTGTTACTTTAACTTTTATGCAATAAAATCAAAATTCAGTTTATTTAATCCAACTAGTAACAGAGGACTATTCTTACTGATACATGTCAAATTTGAATGAGCTTTAACTGTTGCCATAATTTTGGATATAGGAATATACTCGTTATTGACTCAAGTTCACTTTCATATGTCCAGGTCTTTTGTAATATTATTGCGATATTGAGATCAAGTCAGAATTATGTCAAGGTATCAATTTATGATTATTGTTTTTATTAGATTTAAGAAGCAGGTTATTGATCGAAAGCTTCCTAACCACTTATGATTTGATGGATTGTTAAATAGTTATTATGGTTTCTACTTAAATACATGCATTATAAAATGAAGATTACGAAGTGATCATTCTCAAAAGCCTTTTAAACGTACAATCCAAATTCTGAGCAGAGCCAACACGGATCCCTGAAAACAGAGATTGGATCAGGTGCCACGGAGGAGTAAGTATCCCCTGTCGAACGGTCACGACCACTCCGCCGTGTGCTCCTTGTCATGATCGGGTAAAGGGAAATCGGTGTGAACATTTCTATAAGACGACAGTCAACGTTTGACTTAACAAAAAATTTATTTGTAAACAAGGTCATATATTGACCATAAAATTTTCAAAAACTTAAAAGAAGAATGTTGATATCCTTGTATCACCAACTTATCTGTCAATAGCCTGCGTCTTTGGCGATAATTACATTTGTCATAAAGTTTAGTTTTCAGTTTGCTATCAATGTATTTTTATAGTAAATATCCAATAGGAAACAAATGTGTCGGGCTTTGTGGAGTCTTTTATCTCGAGGTCAATGGGATATATCGAATCAAATTTGGAATGAAACTGACTATTGTTCATTGATAAAACGTCATTGATATCCGTGACTTATTCATTGTACATCATTATGTTTATATAAATGTGATTCGCTTCATCCCAGGCAAAACAATTTATATGTAAAGTATAAGACAGAAAATGATTTTCATTTTCGAAAATAGATTACACTTTTTTTTTTATTTTGAGCTATTATATTTGTCCTTCATGCACTGAATGCTCAAATAGTACAAAGCAAGTAGTAAAGAAAATGGGCGTGTTTGCGTGTGATCTGAAGGAATAAGGCGTACGAAACATTTATAATTTAAATGTTTACAATTTGGTCGGCTGACCACAGCTGGACATACTTTACAAAGTTATGCACATGGGAAAATGTTACATTTAGTTTAAAATACTTTGTCAAATTTAATATATCAGTCTGCTTACTTAATAATTACTACATGTAAAACTTAGTAACGCTTCACATAAATAATATACACCTTTAGGGTGTAGTTAAATGCAATTACAAGTACATGTATATATTAAAGTATCAGTAGGCTGGAAGAATTGCATTCACTTTCGGTGCAACAGAACCTGAATTTATCTATTTGAAAATAAATCAATACATGAAATTAAACTGACAAAAGAATTGATTGATTGTACTTAAAAAAATATTAACGCTCCATTCGAGGATCGAACCAAAAATATTTCTTTTTCATTGCATTGGACGGGTAACTCATACTACTGAGCTATCATCGCTACGCACGTTTTACGGATTTTAAAACGACAATGAAGCACCGCATTTACACATTGGAATGTTTTTGGAAAAAGTTCATTTTTTATCGTCTCTGGTCTTCTCTCCATTTTTTACAAATGTTTGTTAGTTTCTTTGAATTAGAATGCACACAAATAACGTTTCAAAATCATGGAGAGATGACCCAGAGGTGGCAAATTTTTAGAAAAACGTGTTTAAGAATGTAACATTTTGTACCAAATGACTCTTCTAGCCAATTTTCAAGTCTTTTTTAGCAAATCAAATTACAATAACTGAAAATTTTTCCATTTCCTATTTGACAGGAACCCGATACATCAAAAGAATGCTAAAATTTCGTGTGACAGTTCAATGAAATTTTCACTTTTCAAGTGCGCCCAGATTTCTGCCGAATGCCAATCAAAAGCGCCCTCGTTCTTTAACTTTTATTATTTCATCTATAATTCTCTCAATACTTTTATTAGCTAGTCAATATTTTTATTGCGTGTATGCAATATCCTCCTTAAGAAATAAAGAATTGAAACTAAAATACTTGCTTAAAATATTTAATTTCAATAGTAATGAATAATTATTAGTTCATTGATTTAAAAAAATGTATTCTTCGTAGATCACTGTTACTATGGATTCCAAAGTTGTCAAGGGTACAATTATCAAAATACCACTTAGCATTAAGTTTTATGATTTTTTGTTATTGTTATAGAAAAAATAAGTTTCTGTTCCATTATGGAACTCTTCAATTGCCTTATGTAAATACCATTCATATTGTGTTAATATATCTTCATTATATGCTGATACTTTGTCTTTATTTGCGGATAGTTGTCATTGAATGCTGAAACTTTGACATTCCTTGCTGATTCTTTATATGCTGATACTCTAATATCAAATGTCTGTACTTTTTCTTTATTTGCCGAAATTTCTTCATTACTTACATGAAATACTGATATTTTAATATTTTACCTTCATACGCTGATACTTCTTTATTATATGTTGATGCTTCTTCATCATATGATAACAAGTCTTTATATCATTGCTGATGCGTCTTCATTATATGATGAAACTTTGAGATAATCATTGTTAAAAGATTCTTTGATATGTGCTGCTGCTTCTTAAACATATGATTAAACTTTTTAATATTATGATTATTTGTCATATTCTAATGGAATTTCTAAAATACTTTGGTGAAATATTTAAAGCGTAAAATTCCATAAAACAAGACAGGGCATGTGAAAAACATAATGCACGTACTAGTATTTGAGAAACTGGGACAATATCCTTTTGAACATTTTGAAAAGTAAAAATAATCTCTGACAGTCGTAGGTTGCCTGTCCAAAAATTGGAATTTCAAAAAGATCCAAAATTTTGAAATCAAGTGTATAAAGCACGTTGGGGGCTCAACAAAACTAAATTCAGGGTAATGCTGGACTATCTAAACATCTAAACAGAATGTTTGATATTACAAAATCGCCATTCTAGAATTTGCTTTGCAAATTGCTTAACATTTGTATCAGAGAGAACTGTTCATCGCAGAATAACGCGATTTGAATTGTGTTAATGTGCTGTAAATGAAGATGGCCGTGAAATAACCAACGGTTTAAATTTTTTGGACATACAGTTTACAAACAATAAAATACTTTTTCCTTTCAACGATTCATAAACATGTCGCAATGCAAGTCATGCTTTTCACTAGTTGCAGCACTGTAGTTCTGTGGTTGAGAAAATTAGGACAGATAAACCAGAGAGTTACAGATCCAAGCGTTGTAAAAACCTTCGAATTGTTTTGTCTCTCGCTTTGTGTATTTATTCTTGCTTTTTATGCGTTCACCCGCTTTAAGCATGGTATTCGTTATTTAACCATATAATTAACTCTTATTCCCGATACTTTATTTACCTTTCAACAGTTCCAAACAACCCGATATAGTCTCAGAGTATCCGCTTTTTAATGCATTCCGACGCCCAAGTTGGTGTCATGCTTGAGAAAAATCACACCCGATTCAATTCTATGGTCGATACAATAACCTTGTTAGCAAATACAATCTGTTTATAAGTGTGATGTTGACTGACGTTTTTCATACAAATTGTTAGAATATTATGTTCACACTGAATAGTCCTTTCCGGTTTTTTTTATTTACCCAATCATGACAAGGAGCACTCGGCGGGTGTTACTGGTAGTCAGGGGATGCATAGTCCTCCATAGCACCTGATCCCCTCTTGAATGCTCTGCTCCTGATCTGTAATGTTATAATGGACTTTCGAGCTTGACTACTGTTTGTTATCTTCAAATTTCTTCAGTTGAATTGGCCATTACGATAGCTCAGTCGGCAGAGCACTCGCTCCTTGATCGGAAGGTCATGTGTTCGAATCACGGCCGCGACTGACCTAAGTCGATAAAAAATAGGTAGCAACTGTTCCCTCGCCAAGCGCTCGGCACTTTGAAGTGAAAGTTGCGAGTCCTTCGGATGAGACCTTAAAATCTGAGGCCTAGTGTCAAGTTAAAGTTGGCACGATAAAGAACCCTCTCAGCTCCAATGGCCCTGAGTATTGAGTATAGGTCTAAATTCGATGCCCTTCAGCGGCATATGGTGACGTCTCTATATGAGTGAAAAATTCTCTAAGTGGCCGAGTATAGATCTCACTTTGAAGCCCTTCACCGGTTACTTCTCTATTTGAGTGAAAACATCATGAATGAACGTAAAAGAACAGCAATCAATCAATCAATCAATCAAACAATTAGCCATAATGTATGTGACAATTATCTTGACGGTATGACTATCACATTCTCAGCATATTAAATTTATCAGCTAATTAGAACACTATCTCCTTTATGCAACAGTCTCATAAAATACTTCAAGAATATTTTAAAGCTACAATTAAATTTCATTATTTTTAAAAATGAATTCAGTACTCTTCGATATACAATCTAAAGCCACTTAGGATAAGTTCTTTAAATAACTTTTACTGATGGTAATGACTTTATTCTTTTTTCCAATTGCAAACATGCATAGCATGCATTATGGACGGTATTGATTATTGGTTGACAATGGTGCGTGCCGGTGGGAGTGATGGACAGCTTTCGTCTGTTAATGTTAAATGCGCTGATATTATAGGTCGAAAATATTTTTAAGACAGATAACATTAATCAAAGCTAGTCTTTGCACTTTGCAAAGTTAGTGTTATCATTCAACAAGTAACAGTATTACACATCAGATATACTATCAATTTCATCGAAATAAGATTACTCGGAACGCTCTTAAGTACCATATTTTGACTTTTTAATGCGCTGTTGCAACCACTTTTGAAATAACGTTCACTATTGAAATAATTATTTCAATAGTGGTTGAGAGTGTATTTCAAAACCAAACACAGGTTGCAACCACTAATGAAATAACGTTCACTAATATATATATATATATATATATATATATATATATATATATATATATATATATATATATATATATATATATATATATATATATATATATATATATATATATATATATATATATATATATATATATATATATATATGGAGAGGACTTATATAGGCAGTGCCTGCTGTCCAATCCAGTTATGTTTAATCATAATAAAATATTGTTTAAATTAAATTAAATTAAATTTAACTGATCTAGTAATTTTAAGTAATTTTGTTATATAAGGTTCATCTTTGTTATTAATTTGGGAAAGTAAAAGATTATAAGTAAAGATAGTTGTAAAAATTATATATCTACATTAAAAAGAAAAAGAAGACATCTATGTGATATCTAATATGTTTACAAACTTTCTGATGAAAATAGTTATTTTTAATCAGAAGGATATAGAATAGAAGTAAATTTTCGCTTATATTTATGGGCTTGCCTACACTACTAATATGGATAGTAAATCCAAGGTTTCTACTCGTCAATACGTGAAAATCAACTATTTGGGAAAACTAAGTGTTATAACATAAGAGGTTGTTATTTCAATAGTGGTTACACCTATAAAACCGTTATTGAAAAAATATCCACTATTGAAATAATTATTTCAGTAGTGATCGTTATTTCAATAGTGGGTGCATTATTGCAAGCACTATTGAAATTACGACCTCTTTTGAAAAAAAAAAAAAAAAAAATTCAATAGTAGATAATTTCAATAGCGGTAGTATTAATGCAACCACTATTGAAATAACGATCACTAATGAAATAATTATTTATAT